TATATCTTCCTAGTTTAATCCAAGTTACAAGCCGAATTTCATTGGAATCGGATAACATTTACCAAATCCGCCCCATAGTGTAGTGGGCATGGCAGTCCGCTAACATCAACAATTTTTCACATTTCTTCATTCCTAGGTAAAAGTACTCCACGTTACAATTTTCAGCAAAATCGGAGCTCATTTACTACTTTTTGCCACATTTTATATTGAGCTCTTCCACTGTGCGACGTCGCGGGGGAAGTTTGCGACTGAGCAGTACAGCAGGGGCCCACATAGTCACTCGTCCAATCTCGCGTGGTGCCCAGTCCGGAACATGCCCTAAAGAGACATCAGCCAAAGCAGGAATCGCACTTGACTGATGTCACATTACGGTATATTCTGGACCAACACACCGAGCAAATGGTGGGAGGGACGGACAAGGAGTTGCCGGCGGTGGTGTTTCGGTGTTTCTGTGATGTTAAACAAAAATATGCACTTGCATAAATATCTGAGCTCTAACTCCGAACCCGGAGGAGACAATTCCGACCCTCCTCTCTCGTAGGGCCTGACGGTAACATAAAAAAAAAATATTCCGACGAAATGATAACTTCCTCCTTGTTTGGAGGTCGGTTAAAAAACAAAACCGACTTCAATTCTTATATACAAATTTAAGAGTATCGTTGATTTCTTCGTGATCCAATGATCGGATCTAAACCAAATTAGTATGAGAACACCTCTGAGGTACCACCTTTCCCCTAAAAAATTATAGAATCGGGTTAACGTGGTCCAAAGTTATGCGGTAACATACATAAAAAAATATTCCTACGAACTGATACTCTCCTTTTTTTTAAGTCAGTTACAAAAAATCAAGCTTTGACATGGAATATTTTACTCATACGCCATGCACGAGTACGGCAACATTATTTCCTGCCCCCATTCAAAACTTGTTTATTTAGAAGAACAGGCTTTAATAAAAATTAAAAAATATATATATATAAGACATGTTATTTTATTAATTATTTCCTTGTAAAAGTTTAAGTTTTTTTCATAAAATAGAAATTACATACATATCCTGGGGAAATCACCTGATCTGGAAAAACGGTATTCAGATCCATAATCACTAACCCAAAAATAAGTATACGTGTCTCGTCCCATTTTGTGCCCACAATTTAAAAAAATGAGTACATTGACATGAATTGAGGTTTACAGCGGTTTTTGAGGTCCCTGAATTGGAATCTGAAGTCATAATAACAAAAACTAAAAAGGCCGATCCAATATGGCGTCTAAAATCTTAAACACAATAAATTATGTTAACAATCATAGTAAAATTGGTTTATTATTATATTATTTAAGAGTTATTGGGGTCGCTAGATTCGAATATGAAATCAAAGTAACTAAAAACAAAGTGGCCGATACAATCTGGCGCCTGAAATTAAAAGAAATCCACGTAGTATTGAGTTATATTAGGTTTTTTAAGTTTTTATTTAAAATTCTTAAATATAAATGCTATTGAACTATAATATAATCATTTTTACGTGTATCTTACACGAAGTCGGTTAAAAAATTAATAGCAAAAATCATCTTCAGAAAAATTTCAATATTATATGGTACAAAATCGTGTCTTAAACAAAAGTACACGGTCGGATTCTCTCTTCTTCTTCTTCTTTATTGACGCTGTAACCACCTAAGCGATTTTGGCCGAGTACAAAACAGCATGCCAGTCATTTCTCTTCTGTGCTAACTGACACCAATTGGAAATGCCAAGTGAAGCCAAGTCCTTCACCTGGTCTTTCCAACGCAGAGGAGGCCTTCTTCTTCCTCTGATACCAGCATCGCAGCCTGCGTTTCATATTTTCGGAGCAGGAGCGTTTCTGTCCATTCGAACGATATGATCAAGCCAGCGGAGCCGCTGAATTTTACTTCGCTGCACTATGTCTATTTCGTTGTACAGCTCATCGTTAAATTGTCTGCGATATTCGCCATCACCAACGCGTGGAGGTCCGTAAATCTTTCGCAGAATCTTTCTCTCTCATTGTCCATGTCTCCGCGCCTTACACCAGCACAGGCATGATGATGAGCTTTTACCGATAATATCGATGTCGTCGGCATACGCCAGCAATTGTACGCTCTTGTAAAGTATTGTGCCTGAACGGTTCAGTTCTGCGGCTCTTATTATCTTCTCCAACATCAGATTAAAGAAATAACACGAAAAGGAGTTCCCTTGTCTGAAACCTCGTTTGGTATCAAACGGCTCGGAGAGGTCCTTCCCTATTCTGACGGAGCTGGTGGTATTGCTCAA